TCGCCACCGCCGAAGATCTCGGTGTCGCCGCGGAACCAGCGGACGCGGCCACGGGTGTGAGACACGGTGCACTCCAGCGTGGCCTTGTGCTGCGCCAGCACTGTCTTGTCCCGCAGCGGCCGCACGATCCGGATGGGCAGCGCTGCAATGGGAGTGGGGTGAGACTGTGCTTGGGGGGGCCAGCACCTCCCCCCACCCTTCCTGCAGCTGCCCGTGGCTTCTGACTTCCCCCAGCCGCCCCACAGCCCTGCCACTTACCCCCATGCCCACCCTGTGCTGCTCACGCTGCCTCAGCCCCCCACCCCCTGCGTGCAACAAGGGTGAGGGGGTGAGCACAGGCTTCCCTAAGAGAGACTCATGAGGCCAGGCCTGGCCAGTCTGGAAGAGACACTGGAGGAGGACAGGAGCAGGGTTTGCACCGCACTGAATAAGGAAGAGAAAGTCCCTGGGGATTTATTCTTGCCTGTCTCTGCCCAGCTAGAGCAGGGGTCCTGGCATGGGATGAGCAGGCTGGCAGCTGCCAGTCAAGCCCAGGCTGTCCTGTCCCCTCCACGGGCCATTCAAGGGGGGGACTCGTGGCCTTTACAGAATCACAGACAACGAGGGCTGGAAGGGAGCTCTAGTCCAACCCCTGCTCAAAGCATGACCAGCCCCCACCACAGCATCCCAGACAAGACTTTGTCTACCCGGGTCTTTCAATCCTTGGAGGTTTTTATGCCACCAGCTCTCTAAGTAGCCTGTGTCCTCCCTCAGGACTGTCTCCAGCTCAGGTCACACCTCGGGGTTACCTGAAGAGATGGGGCAGAGGATGCTGCCCCTTTGCAGTGACCATGGTAACCAGATTGTCAGCTGGCAGTTTGGGCAGACAGAGATGGCCTTCTGCCACAGCTTGTCCCAGTGCTTCACCACCCTCCTGCTGAGAAAGTTTTTTCTAATATCCAACCTCAACTTCCTTTGCTGCAGCTTGTGCCCATTGCTCCTTGTCCTGTTGTCTGCCCCCACTAAGACCAGCCCAGCTCCATCCTCTTTGCAGCCCCCCAGCAAGGAGGTGGAGGCTGCTATTCAATCCCCCTCGGTCTTCTCTTCTGCAGACTCGATCAGCCCAATTCCCTCAGCCTCTCCTCACCAGTCCTGTCCCCCAGTCCCACAACCATTTTCATTGCCCTCCACTGGACTCTCCAATTGTCCACATCCTTTCTATAGTGAGGGGCCCACAGCTGGACACTGGACTCCAGATGTGACCTCCCCAGTGCCGAATAGAGGGGAAGAATTGCTGCCCTCGATCTGCTGGCAGCGCTCCTACCCATGCAGCCCCGGATGCCAGTCGCCTTCTTGGCACCAAGGGCACACTGCCAGCTCCTGTCCAGCTTCTTGTCCCCTGTCTGCCCAGGTCCTTTCCTGCAGAGCTGCTGCCCAGCCCGTCCCCCACCCCTGCCTGCCCCAGTGCAGGGGATCGCTCCCTCTGCAGTGCAGGACTTTGCACTTGTCCTTGTTGAATGTCACGAGATTCCTTTTGGCCCGATCCCCCAATGTGTCAAGGTCCCTCTGAATCCCAGCCCTACCCTGCAGCGTAACTACTACTTCCCTCAGCTTGGTGTCATCTGCAGACTTGCCGAGGGTGTGCTGCATCCCATCTTCCAGGTCCTTAATGAAGACATTGAATAAAACCACCCCCAAGACCAGTCCCTGGGGCACTGCGCTTGACACCAGCTGCAACTAGACATTGAGCCACTTATTACTACCCTCTGGGCCCGATGCTCCAGCCAGTTTTCTATCCATCTTACGTTCATTCATCCATTCATTCCACCCAGACTCCTTATCTTGTTTGCAAGAATGCTGTAGGAGACCATATCAAAGGCCTTGCAAAAGCCAGTGTATATCACGTGCACTGCTTTTCCACCAGGCGTGGAAGCTGAGCACGTAGCCAGACTCACAAGGGGTTGACACCTTCTTGGAGGAAAGGGGCATCAGGAGCAGGAGGCAAGGGGCACGACCTCTGCATCAGAACTGCCTCGACCCTAAATGCTGGAGGCTGCACATGGAAAAAACCCTGCTCGTGCCCAGCTCGCTCTCCCTTCCAGCCTTCACTCCCTGCCACTGCAGGACACAGGAAACTGAAGACAGACCTGGGCTCTGACCCAGGACATGACAGCCCCAATGTTTACCCGATCCGGCCTGCCCCCTGTTCACACGTGCCCCTGTTGGCCCATGCCCCAGCCAGCCAGCCCCCCAGTGCTACCCCCATCGCTCCCTGGGCCACGGGGGCAGGCAGGTGCAGAGGCCTCGTTACCCTCCACCTGCAGACTGGCGTCAGAGGCTGCCGTCTTGGCCACAAACCGGATCTGCCCCGCATCCTCTGGCCGCACGCTGCACATGAGCAGGAAGTGCCTGGTCCCTGGGAGGGAGAGGGGGCGTGAGGGGTGTCCCATGAGCACAGAGCTCCAGCCTAGCCCTGGGAAGGGCACAGCATGGAGCCATGCCGACAGCGGCTGCTGGCAGGGGACACGGCAGTCCCCAGGCGGCATCAGTGGGCAACCGCACAGGCCAGCAGCCGCCGTGCACACGGGTCCTGGACTGCAGCGTGCCCAGCAAAGCAGGGACCCAGGAACAGCCTGGCCGAAAGGGCTTCACCCACCTTCTTGCCGAATCTTCACGGTGCCGGAGACTTTGATCTTCTCACCGTCGCGGAACCACTCACCCGGCACGTCCTCATGCGACACTTCGCAGGTGAAGACGGCGTTCTCACCCTCGCGCACGCGCACGGCCTCCAGCTCCCTCAGCACGTGCACCCGGCGCTCTGCAAGGCCAGGACGTGGTCCCAGTGGGGAGGGCTGGGAGGGGGCCCCAGGGGCCAGGTGCCTCCAGCATGGGACAGCAACTCAGGGGATCCTGGAGCGGGGGCTTCCCCCAGCCCAGCCCATGCTCCGGCCAGGCCCAGCTGCCTCCTGCTTCCTGGGATGTGGCCTGGTCTGGGCTGGTCCTGGCACCACCCCCAGCCCTGACGAAGCCCACTGCCCCAGAGCTCCCAGCCTGCTGCTGTGGGGGTGGGGGTGAGAGGTCAGCACAATTAAGAAAACGTATCTCCGCTGACGACGCCATCCCAGCGCAGGGCTCTGACCCTAGTGGGGCTGGAACCACCCTCAGGAAGGGCTTGGCGAAGGAAGACCATTTTAATAATTGGAGCCAGCCTGACAACATGGCTTGTTCTTCGTTTCGCTCACTGGCACCCAGCAAATGCCTGCTTGAGACGCAGCTTTTGTGGGAATCCAGTCACAGCTTTGAGCCCAGCCCCAAATACTTAGGAGTCGGCCTTGTCCACAGTCTCCCCCATAGGCACCGTCTAAGGACAAACTTGCCACACGTGACAGCAGCATCTCAGACCTGGCTGCAACACACCAGGGAAGCGCCGCCAAAGCCCCAAGAACATCAGCATTGGCCCTGGTTTATTCAGTGGCCAAGGACTAAGCCATGAGTTTGGATGGGCCTGGGTTGGATGTGACCCCACAGGTCCCTGCCGGCCCCATGGCACTGGGATCCTACGACTCCACGATGTCTCAGTGACCCAGATGTGCAGGGCGGCTTCTGGGCTTCCTGCTGTGCTTGACACCACACTCCTTGTCCTCTCCCCACCCCCAGCTGTGTGCAACCCGCACCCCATCCTACCGTAGACCGCCAGCGTGGCGGAGGTCTGGCAATCACTGGCGTCGCACGTGTACACACCGGCGTCAGGCAGGCCACAGTGGCTGAGCTGCAGGATGCGCCGGCGTCCCACCGAGTAGAGGCGGCAGGTGGGCCCTGCCCGGAGCTCCGTCCCATCCTGCACCCAGAGCAGCAGGGTCACCAGGCTGCCCTGGGGGCCATGCAGCAGCCCTGGCAGGGGCAGGACTGGGGCAGAGGGCCTGCTGCCCCTCGCTGGCTCCTCTCCCTGCAGCCCTGGCGCAGGGGCAGCCCCTGCCCAGGGGAAAAGGAAAGGGAAGGGGGTGGGCTGCCAATGGGGACACAGTCAGGCTGGGCCAGGCAGCACTCACCTTGTACCACTTCACCTCCACAGAGGCACGGGACAACTCGCACTCGAAGCTCACTGCCCCCGTCTCGGGGACACCCACATCCCGGAGGGTCTTCACCATGGTGACCGGGCGCTCTGTGGGAGGGATGGGACAGGAAGCCAAAATCAGCCAGAGTCGGGGAGTTCCAGGCAACAGGACACGGGGCATAGTGGGATACAGGCAGGGCACTGCCATGGGGAAGCTCACAGCACCGGAGACCCTGCTGGGTTCCATTATGGCACTGCTCTAGGGAAGCTCCCAGCACCAGCCCCTGTGCCCCGAGCACCGCCATACCCCTGACAGTGAGGCGGGCGCTGCAGCGCAGGCTGTCGGCGGTGAAGGTAACAGTTCCCGAGTCCTCCAGTGTGAGCGCCAGCAGCGTCAGGCTGTGCGTGCAGCCCGTGGCACTGAGCCGGCAGGCGGGGCCTGGCTTCACACGCACGCCATCCCGTGCCCAGGCCCCAGCCACACCAGCGTGGGACAGCTCCAGCTCGAACGTGGCCATCTCCTTCTCGAAGGTCTCCACGTCCGACAGCGGCCTCCGCACCATCACCTTCCGGGCTGCCCCAGAGACTGGCGTGGGGGGCCGCTCCTGCTGCATGGGGCCAGGGGCAGCAGAAACCCAGCCCCGCCGAGACGGCATCATCCTCCTGGATCCCGTTTTCATTCTTCCCATCCTGCCCTCAGCCCCCATGCTCCCAGGCTGTGCCCATGCCTGCCTGGCATGCCCCTACCACTGCACCCCAGGCCACCCCCATCCCCTCTGCACCCTGCCCGCAGCCTCCCTTGCCCTCCACACCCTGGGCCACCTCTGCCTCGCCCCAGGAAGCACTGGGCATGCACCAGCTGGGTGCCCAGGCAGGAAGCGGGTACTCACGCTCCACGCTCAGCTTGGCCTGGGTGCGGTCGTGGAGGGTCTCGCAGCGGTAGGTGCCGCGGTCTGAGGGGCTGAGGCTGCAGATGGTGAGGGTGCGCCGGCGCCCGGCTTCCTGCAGCTGGTACTTGGCCCCCGGCTGCAGCAGCACCCCCTGCTTCAGCCATTGCACCTCAGCACCCGCGTGGCTCAGCTCCACCTCCAGGCAGGCGTCCTGCAGCTCCTCCACCACCATGTCCTGCAGCTTCTGGACGAACAGCACCTCGGCCTCTGCAAGGCCCACCGCCCTGTGTCACAGGTCCTGCCCCAGACCATGGTGCCACGAGCCAGGGCACCCCAAGAGAGCCTGGCACAGGGACTCACGCACCCTGAGAGAGCTCAATGCTGCATGCCAGGGGCCTCCACACCCAGAGAGCCCAACACCACGTTTCAAGGGCCCCTCTGCCTTGAGAGAGCCTGATGCCACGTGCCAGGAGCCCCTGCACCCTGAAGAGCTTGATGCTACATGCCGGGGACCCCTGCACCCCCAAAGCCCAATACCACACATCAAGGAATGCTGTGCCCCGAGAGAGCCCAGCACCACGTGTCAGGGGCCCAAGTCCCAAGAGAGCCCCCCGCTCCCTGCTGACAACAGACTCCCCCACCTGGCGCATGAGCGGCCTGTGCTGGAGCCTGTGCCTGTCCCTGCCCAGGGGCTCCCAGCTCCAAGACCCCCAGCCATGGCTCCTACAACAGACCCCCCAGGCCACAGGCAGCCCCCAGGGGAGGCCTCACCCCAAACAGACCAACGCACCGGGGGAAGAAGCCCCAGAGAACAGACCCGGCCGCCAGCACGGACCTTGGTGGCTGCACTGCACCCTCTGCCCCTTGCTGCCAGACGGCCCCTGCAACCCCGCCAGCTCTTCTCACCTTGCACACTGAGCCGGGCCGCGCTCACCAGGCCCTCGGCGTTGGCCGTCACAGTAGTCGCATCCCCTGGCTGGCACTGCCGGATGGTGAGGCCATGGCACAGCCCATTTGTGCTCACCACCAGCCGCTCTGAGGGTGCGACCACCTGCCCCCCCAGCTGCCACGTCAGTGCCACATCCTCCGGGGACACCACACACTTGAACGTGGCATCCTCGCCCTCCATCACCGTCAGGTTGCGCAGCTCCGAGATGATCTCCACCACCCTGGGGACTGAAGCCAGGGTCATGAGGGAGCCAGGCCATCCCCAGCACCCATGGAGCCTGGCAGGTTTGTACCCGTGGGCCTGCCACACTACCTGTGGCCCCAACCCACCTCCCCAGGGCCCTGACACCTGCTAACCGCCAGCCCGGCCCTCACCCTGCACGGTCAGCATGGCCAGCGTCCGGTCATCTTTGCTCTCGCAGCAGTATTCGCCAGCGTCCTCAGGCCCCACATTGCTCAGCACCAGCGAGCGCTCCCGGCCCTCTACCCGGGCCTCACCATGCCCGCCGGGCACCAGGACCTGCCCATCCTTCAGCCACGTCACGTCACCCCGTGCCTTGCACAGCTCGCACCACAGCAGCACCGTCTCGCCCTTGTGTGCATGCACGTCCGACAGGCCCCGCACGAACTTCACCGGCAGCTCTGGGGGCACGAGGCGGAGCACAGGGTTGGGGCCGTGCCGCAGAGCCGCCCCACACCAGCCCGGCTCCAGTGTCCACCACCCTCACCTTTCACACTGACGTCAAAGTGCATGTGGTCGTCGCGGGAAATGCAGGTGTAGCAGCCAGCCTCATCCTTGCCCACATTGCTCAGCACCAGGCTGTGCACACGGCCTTCCCGCCGCAGCTCACAGCGCTCGCCAGCGGCCACCGCGCCGCATGGCCCGGCCCAGCTGACCGCAGCCTGCTCCTTGGACACCACAGCTGAGAGCACAGCACTGCCCCCCTCCAGCACCAGCACCTTCTCCTGCTTTTCCTGCTTGTTCACGAACAGCACCGGGGCCTCTGCGGGCCAGGGGCTCATGTTGGCAGGGGCAGGGGCCAACGGCACAGGATGCCGGAGGCACGTGAGCGCAGGGCAGCAGGGGCATGAAGGGGGGGTGCACGAGGGGGTAGGGCAGGAGGATGGGGCAGAATGGGGGCCCAGGCAAGGGTCAGGCCAACTCACTGGCACATGCAGGGGCAGGGGCAGGGGCAGGGGCAGGGGCAGGGGCAGGGG